GACAGGAGATAAAATCTGCTGAAAATCTTCTAGACAGATGGGTTCAACTAAAAGATTCAATAAGATATTTTACTATACTCATTCCAATTGATTTCTTCGTGTGGTAATCCTTTGAAAATGAAGTCTACGCCAGAAACGCGGCATCAGTGGGAAACTTCAAAGCTGCAACTGAACAAAAATACCACAAAGCCAAACGAGATGGTTTTGGAAGTTGATCAGTCAATTGTCTATCGTTATCAGCAGTGGTTCGATCAGAACGGTAATAACTGGGGAATTTCGATAATAGGAGGAAAAGTTATGTTTTTACATGGGTTCTTTTGCAATTTAAATATCAATTTTACGTCAATTCAAACTGGTAAATAGGAGTTATTGCCCTGCGTTCGATGGACAGAGGGCAATAGATGTAATGCCGTGGATATGAGCTGCGAATTACGAAATTCTAATTTGGCACAGAGATATTTTCTACTCTTGTTTGTATATGGGCAGTATGCGTGCCTTCGTGTTTTTCTACAAACGAAGTAGAGACATTCGTTCGCCCTCGCAACCGGAGTGCTGAGGTCACCTAAAAGAATCTCAGCATCCTGGTCTTTTTGTAATAACTATTTGAGGTAAGTTACTAAGTGATTTGCGACCAAGATGCCTATAGACAGCAGCAAGTATATACTACCTTTATAAAGAAAAGTGACAGTATTAGTAATTAATCTCAAGGTGGCCTATGAAAGGCCGCCAGACTGTGTCAGTGATAACCCGGGAAGGACATTGAGGTTCGGTCAATCATAGCCTACGGATAGCCTGCTAATTAACTTAACCCCCATGCGTAATCATTGCAAAACGTTAAGCCACTGAGAACATCTTTCAGACATAACCTGTTCCATAACAAAGTTAGCCATTCTTTTACCTAAAATAGACCTAGTCGACAAGGTAAATAAAAATGAAAAAGGTAGCTTAGAGTCAACAGTAGCGGTGTCAGCTGCTTTGCTTTGAAATATTTTGTAGAACTAGTGACAGGGCTGTATTTAATCAACCTACAACGGATCTTTGTGAGCGCAGTATCACAAGCAGGCCACAATCATACATGCGGACATTATGTTTACACCACGTCTTCCATATAATTAAACGAGTTTAATGGTAATAAAGGCCTAGGTACCATTTTCAAGCGAAATTAGCCCCTAAAGCAATAGGGCTGAAGTGGTAAAGTTGAGCAGTCAATGGAGATTTAAAATGAATCCAATTGAACCATTTGTTACGGAAAGCAAAGAAAAACTATCGTATCTATTATAAGGCGAGCCGCATTCACGATGGCACAGTGAAACTATAACAGAACCAATGCTTTTGTGTTACAAGTTACTTATTCATACAACGACTAAGAACGTAATGATGAATTTCCTAGAAATTGCTAACTTCTTTCTAAAAAGTGTTTCTATAGTAATTTCAGCCTTTCAAAGATAGTTCAAATTTTCAAATAGACGAGAGTGAAGAATTGCTTCTAAGAAACACTGGCGATGGGAAATCGCAATTAGAGACGAAAAAACAATTTCGAATAACTACAAAGATTGCCGCACTATAATGCGCAACACCAACTAGTTTTAGATTGGATCAGAGGTAGAATTTTACACATTGTTACAGGATTGAATCCATGTGTGTTTGTATATCTTGTCTTCAGGAATCTCCACAGACTTCGTCCCGAATGTCATCTGCGATCACTGAACAAAAGAGACGTCGCGTACCATAGCGTTACTCCGTGACTGGCCTGACCTGGTGATTTGGCTGGCTGAAAACGAAATAACTAATTTGCTACACGAATGTTTATGAGGTTACCAGTCTCTTATAGGATTCAACACGGGACCATCATGAGCCTTATCAAGGTACGTATGCATTGGTCTTTACAGATAAGCACACTCCTGGATCCTGTGGATTCTCAAGGGACATTTAGGTCAGGCAACTGTATTCGAAGCAAGAACTATGACAAAACAATACCCTAACAGTTGTGCATGTGTAGGCATGCGGCGAATCAGTACAACGAAGGCGCAGCCATTTGAGAAACGAAAACCATTAGCTGAAATTATACGGCCTTAACTATTATACTACACAGGACTCTGAGCAGAAGCTGTCTAGTGCTATATCGGAGATATAGGTCAAAACCTTCCTCGTTCCAGCTCTTGTAGACTTGATAAGAACCATACAAGGGCGTAGTGGCCTAGTGTAAAATGCTCACTGTCCTTTAACCCCGTCTGTACCTGGTGTGCATAGACTTATGTCAAAACTTTGTCTAAAGTTTTGAATGCTTTTCAAGTTCTCGGTCCAAAAAGAGCTAGAGAAAGCAAACGTTAATGAGCCATGAATTGAGGCACTGATAGCCAAATTGACCTGCGTTAATTGAATCCAGCCTTTGAGTTTCCTGATTCTATTTTCGATGGTTGACGGCATTTATCAGACGGGTTTTATTTCTTTCACTACGATTGAGATACGCCTTTTGAGGTCGAACACTTGCTTCAGGATGGATGCTGTATAGTTGATGATATTCCCAAAGTTCTATTTAGCTAGTAAAAATATAGACAAGCCTAACGTCACCCTTTGCTACTAGATACTCGAAATATTCAATGACTCGTGTGGATGGCCGAGCGTACCAACATTGTTCCCTTGCGACATTTGTCTAAATTATATAGGCAAGCCATGTAATTCAAACAGATTTAGCAATTTAAAGGCGGGACATAAAACTTGCAGGGATAGATAGGTAAAAGACCACCTGTCCTTTTGTTCCCTGCCGGCAGCCGTGGTTCGGCCATGTGGAGCTACTAACCACGTCAGTTGTCGATGTAACTTAAACTGACAACAAAGGCTGATAATATTATAACAAAAAAGATACTTGACCATGACCCATCCATGTCCCATTTATTTTCGAAATGAACTTCGAGCACTGAACCAATTGCACTGCCCGCTGATAGTCTGATCTTAAAGTGCCAGTAAAGATCGACTGCTTCATTTCTACAAAAGGGAAACACCGGAGCTCACGCGATTGACATATTGGGTTGATCATTTGAAATAATTTATTGCTTTTTAGCCAAAATTAAGGCCAATACTTTCGCTATTTTAAAATAAGGTTAGGCTAAGTATGCGCTGTTTTAGCCGACGACCCTCTGCCGTTTCTCTAGTTAACCATATTCCGATCATTGTAGGGTTTCTGGGTGAGGAATTGTGACAAGTGATTTTTGCATTCCTCCATTAGAGCAATTGAGTAGGTTCGCAAAAAGATAGCGGCATTCGACAGGTTTGAGGAACGTGGACCCAGTCGGCCCGCATTCGTATTGCATCAGTCTTGTAGAACGCAACGCCTATGGCTTTTGGCTGAAAACTGACTCAGTAAACGACCAGCGGGAAAGCCATTGTATACTCACTGAAGATCGAAAGTGGCAATCATTTGTTGACTTAGAAGCTTTCCGGCACTACGCTAGATATACCAATCATATGGTTCATCATATGGCACGTCACGGAATACGTGCCACCAACCCGGTGCATGTCGTAGAACGAAAGATATGAATATTGTCGTCAACTTCTTAGTTACCAAAGCGTATCAATATCGTTACTTATACATAATTTAATTATATTTGATATAGTTCGAAAAGTGTAGACATACTAAAAAGTGGCGGTAAGCTTGGAAATACACATGGAGTAATGCTAGTTCTAACGCTACATGTCATCATCATGAGATACAGTTTTTACATTACTTTCTCTTCAATCACCTTTAATTGTCACTTGAAGAATCTATTAAGAAGAAAAAAAATTGGGTATCGATATATAGTAGATGTCCTTGAGAACGTCCTAACCAATGTCTCATACACCGTGCTTACTGGATTTTGTTTCACTTGCGTTACCCTTCAGGTGGTAGTACTTGGCGCGCCAGGCGTTGGCAAGACATCTCTGGTTCAACAATTTGTTTGGAACGAATTCAGCGAAATTCATAGGCCAACCACCGAAAAGCACTCATACCTTGCGTCCGTTCTCTATAACGACAAGCTGTTCGCGCTGCAGGTGACAGATTTACCTGTTATTCCTTATTTTCCCGCAGACTCGCTCTTTGAATGGGCTGACTACCGGTAAGATTGATTTCTAGTCATTTGTGATAGGTATGGAATTAGAAAAGTAGTGTGTTAAACACGTAGGTACCGCTATAAGAAAAAGTAAAATAGAAAACAAATGAACAAGGAATATACGGATTCGTTTAGGTTAGAGTGGCGAGAGGGATGGGATAGAAAATAGTGATTCGAAGCTTTTTGCGGCTCTACAATAGCAGACGATCTAGGGAAAACCCTCAGATCGATTTATTAATATAAAAACACTGTATTTGCATATGTGGTCCTATCAAGTTCTTGGTCCTTCGTTGGTGAGATGAGGAAAAAGAGGCAGCTTGACAACTTATGAGAGAGGCAAGAGAACAGAACCTCCATATATGAATACATAGAGGTGGTTCTGCTCTCTTTATATCACACCTCTTCGAGTATTTAGATTGTTAGCCTATTCGTAAGCACTATCTGTTAGAAATAAACAAAGTAATAGACGCACAGTGGGAGATCTAAATGGGGCATCCTTGGCCTACGGAAAGATCAATCGAAGATTAAAATATCTGTGACATTACCGTACATGCCGAGGTAGCTTATTCTGAACATGCAAACACAAATTAAAAAACATCAAGTTTCTGCATTTTTAAAATGTTGCTTATGTCTGGTTATTTTTCGTGAAAAATTAGCAAGCCATACGCAAAAACACAATTCCATTCTACCTAGAATGAAGGTCGCAAGAAGCCGGTTTCTAATGGGTGACTATTTAGAAATAAGTGCATTTTATGACCGGTAACAATTTAGCATTACAGTACGACTTGAAGCAATTATTTTTTCAGAAACAAACAGTATTATAAAATGGTTAAACACACACAAAATATTAACAAATCTTTTGGAAATTTCTTATTTAATTCTGTTAATGTCCATCTGGGTCGATTTTTGCATTAGCTCCGAACAAACGAAATCAATTACCGGTTATAGTTTTTTACTACGAAAGAGAGGGCTCATAAGAACTGCGAGTTGTTAAAACACATAATTTTCAAAACTCGAGCGGAACCAGTCTATCTATGGCCTTTTTACCACATCTAATCCCAATTTAGCTAGTAATAAATCCGGTACTATTGTGAGTCGTTACTTCAGATCTGTGTGCTTAACCCTGTCTAGCTTTCGCCAAAATTATCCGCCTTAATTTTGAACGGAGTTGTTTCTTCTCTTCAAACTGGTGCCGTAACCCTGTGGCAAATAACAGACGTGTTACTGCATGTCAGTATCATGAAAAGAGTCACAGAGGTGCTGATGAAAAGGCAGTATATCCGAAGTCGGAAGTTTACATTCTTTAAGAAGTTATAAAGTAAACACACCGCGTCATGGACACCTGCTTGGCAGGTACTTCGGCTTTATGATAGGCTTTATTAGCTACACATCGCCTTCATCCAGTAGATGGGATGCCTATCTAGGAGTTTCTTGTCACATGACAGAGTCCAGATTAGACGTACTCTATAGCTTAAAAAGTAAGCAATAGCTTGACCTGCAGGACAAGCTAGTGGTCGCAACGAGACAAGCGTCTCCATACAAGCGTCAGAGGCCTTTACACATGATACTGATGTGTAATTACTTATCTAAGGTCCTTTTTAAACGTCACTGTTGGGTCACTGTGAAATGTCACTGTACGTGGAACAGTTACCCCATAGATGGTAATGAATGATTAAAAAAAGACCCATCTGTTTGTTAGCAATGCTGTATAGATGTAAAGCGTATTAAACTATATCTGAGTGAAACAAAAAGACCTGCTCATTATAAACATGGTGTTACTTGTCCGATGTTCAGGTACTACGGTCTCCGCAGTGCATCTGCCTACATCCTTGTATTCGATGTCAACCTACCGGAGACATTCCAGTATGTCAAGAACATGCGAGAGCAAATTCTTCAGAGTAGATCGAAAGAAGTTCCCATTCTTATCGTCGGAAATAAGCACGACTTAGGTAAACAAGCTTACCCCGCATCCCATGAGCTGTTATATATATATA